CGGCCGTCCAACCCGTCCCTGTTTTGTCCCGTTCTTTTCCTGATTCTCAGCTGTTGACCTGCTTTCTAACCTCTCCAAACGTTGGTCAACCTTATCTAGGTGGGCCAACAGTTGAGCCATCATGGTCTCCATCGTGTCGGCCCCTGTGGGTGGGGATTGTCTCTGTTCAGGCACAGAGACTTTGTCCACCGAACAGTTCGATTGGTCCTCATCCTCGGACCTGCGAATCGCTGAGTTCCTGACCTGAAGGAAGGTCAACTGCGGGTCTTTGTGGACCTCCTCTTTCAACTCTCTTCTTAGGATCGGCGTTGCCAGCCCCTCGATGAAATGGTCCCTCAGTAGGCGCACATCAATGTCAGGTGTTTTGACCTTTACCGAATCAAAGGCCCTGTTCATCCGGTGTGAGTACTCCATCACACTCTCCGCCAATCTCTGCCTTAAGCCTACGAACCCTGCTAGCAGTTGCGATCCCGACCGTCTCTCCCCAAAGGTCTCCATAATCAGATCCAGCACCTTATCTGGATCTGATTGGATGGTTTTATCGTGGCATTTGACCTCTGCCCTAACCGTCTCTCCTATACTGCCCATCAGCAGTCTTAATCTTTCCTCTGGTGACATGCCTCTCGAGGCCCAGGCCGCTTTGACCTCTTCACTGAACCTGTTGGTTAAAGTTGGATCACCGTCCCCGTAAAATTTGTTAATGTGGGACTCTCTGGGTAGGACCACTATATGGGTCTGCTTCTCGTCCAGAGTAGACATTTTATTCCGTAAGTAAAACAAAAGAGTTCTTTCTTACCGTGTGTATATGAAAAAAAATTTTCCTCGTTCCTCAATTTTCACAGTTCCTGAATGTCCGAATTCACATACACACAAAACACAGTTATGCACAAGGTTGACTATGGGTGCCTCAAACGGCAAGTCTAGTTGAATTCATCCTGTCCGACGACGCCAAATGTGACCTAGGCTACTCGCAGCGCCTCATATGACCCTGCTCGCAGCGCCAATTGTAACCTTCCCCGAGTCTATCCTGCCCGACAACGCCAATTGTAACGAGTTGAACCACTCATGCTACACAACATCGACTACAGTAGAAAGACTCGAAGATGCAGGTTCGCTATTGATCCTTTTATTACATGAATCAAGAAATGCTTCAATATAACACAATGAATCAACAGGAATGTTTCATAATAATAGTCTGAATCAACTGACCCCTAACAGTCCTCACTAGGCTTCATATAACTGAATCCACATGTCTATTGTCCTTCTTAACACAATATAACCAACTTGATATGTCACACAGACTGACTGATCTAAAGCGAGCGATGAAGAGGGAAGAGAACGAGTTCAGCCGTCCCCTCCTATTTATCCCTTGTATTCGTACTCATCTTCGTACTTGTATTCCTCCGTAATCGATACTTGTACTCGATGTCTCCGACCCTAGTTGCGCAGTTCTAACGTACAGTCCGTGTCATAAACATCTGCATCCTATCAATCAAAGTTGACAGGCCGTCTGAATCCCCTCGTACCGTTTCCCAAAATAGCACGCGTTGGCTTTGAGATTGTTATCAGTCCGATCCAATAAGCCACCTGCTATCGGTTGCGTCAGACTGTCTCGGCTTATCGTTCGTTATCAGATTTGTAACTAGTAGCTAGGCCCACCCTAGCTACATATATATATATATATATATATATATATATATATATATATATATATATATATATATATATATATATATATATATATATATAAGCCCTCCCCTTTCCATGTTGACAGATGTCTGATAGAAAAATGTATCGATCTTAAATAATAAAGTGATTCTCTACGACCCCCCCCCCCCTTCCCAGCTTCTCTACAGCCATACAAAGACCAGGCATTCTACCTAACCCTAAGGGTTCATCCATTTATGACGTCCACAATTTTTTTGGATTTTGTACCCCCCCCCCTGTCCACAAAAATCCACTTCTTTTCCTTATAAAAGTCCATATGCGACCACAAAAGTCAGTGACCCCCCCCCCTTTGTGGACGTCATAAATGGATGACCCCTAGTGATAATTTACAAGTGAACCCCACGCATCGAGTTAATGTATATATCACATCACGTTCTGTATTTGCCAGAAATTCCCCCGCTTCCCTCTACAAAAACTAGAACTGTCGATATCAGTGTTGCTCTCACGCCAAATACAAAATATTCATAAAACTAGTAAACCAATACAATCATTCGGAAAAACCCGATTGATAACGCAGTACCCTAGCGTCCCTACCAATCCAATTACCCCGGGCTAGCAAACATGGCGACGGGCGGCGTTCCGGGAATTTCCGTCGGCCCGTCGGGGGAATTCCCCGAGACAGCTATAATGAATCCGGTCTAATGCCCGGGCATATTTTGGCCCATACAAAACCTGGACGTGTTCAAATAACGGGCATAATGGGGCGTCATTATCGAACGAGCTATGAATATGTGTGTATTTGTCTCTTTACTGAGGTCGCTTCTGATTTAATGTTTAACAAATACTTGTCGCTGTTTTACCAAAGACGCGCTGAGTATAAGGACCCTATAGAGACGTATTATAGGGTTTTGAGAAAATATGCTACAAATGTAAATGTGTTCGGTCATGGCCTACACAGTGTGTGTGTGTGTATGTGTGTGTGTGTATGTGTGTGTGTGTGTGTGTGTGTGCATCTGTAAAACAAATGTTACACAGCAGTACACACATAAAGGCCAACATACGGAATGACACAAAAAAATGCAATTATTGACACAAGAATAGTAAACAAGCATAACGACAATTATACTTCATAATGACAGAAAATTGGCCAAAAAAGAAATCAATTAACACTACACACACAGACACACAAAACGGCAAACAAACACATTGAATAGACAATGAAAAAAAAAAAAACAACTAAGGGCAGATAAACATACTGAACGACAGCCGAAAGGATGGAATAACAAACAAAGAGAGCGACAGACATGACAACAGATCAATCATTTACAAACGCACCTATCATAGAGTATAATATAGCCATAGTCAGTGTTTCTTTCACACTTTTTTCTCCGGGTAGGGGGAGGGTGCATTTAAAACTTTCCGCGGGGGGAGTGGGGAGGACTCTAGTGAAAGTAAATATTTTCTTTACAAATACCATCCCTTTTGGGGAACAGTAGGCGTGCTTTGCTCTGAAGAGAAGGATGAAAAAAAAACACTGACGACTAAACACAAAATCACAACACACAAAAAAATTACAGAACGACAAAAAGATTGGCAGGCATAAACAGATGGACATACACACACACACACACACAATGAATAAATACATAATTACAATTAAGGCAAAAAAAAAAAAAAAAAAAAAATTACGGGGAAAAAAAACACAGAATGATAAAAGTAAACAGAATTAGATCAACATAAAAGAATACCAACAAAAGAACAGGATAATAAAACAGGATTACAGCACAAAACACAGAAGAACAGACAACAAAGCATCAGGAACAACATATCCCCCCCCCCCACTCCACCTCACCCAACCCCCACCTACACACAGCTTCAGACTGTAACAATGCAAAGGTTAGAGCTTCAAAGAATAACAAGACCACATACAAACCGACGCTGTTACATACAAATAATTATATTATTATAACTTAATTACTTCCTGTACTCACATACACTTGTAATGTGTCTTTATTTTAAAAAATCACGAAATCAAAAAAAACAAAATTTAAAAAAAATAAAAAAAAATAAAAATATATTAAGCAACGACAACTCTGTAAAAGTCAAGCATAAAATACACACGTATTGTTTCCCTTCATTGAATTTACCAGCTCGATTTTAATGTAGAACTACTAAACTAATCTTATAGGCTGAGAATAGAAATAAACCGGGAGTGATCTCCCCTAAACTTTCTCGAATATTCTAATATAACACTACGTGGAATGTCAACTCGGAATATAGACATGATTTTTGTTTACTTAAACTTTTAAAAATAGAATAAAATCAAGTAGAAAAAAAAATTGCGCACCAAGCGAGCACCAAAACCAAATGTGCGTAATAGTGCGCAATATTATTAGTACTTTATAAATTTACATGCGTTTTTTGAGAAATCGGAAATAGCGTAAATTAGTACTTCCGGTCAACGGAAATTACTCAAAATTTAATAGAAGGTAGAGAATTAGATCTTTTACTTACAGGTGAAATTTCTTTTATCTATCTGAATTAGTACTCAAGTTATAGGCTTTTGAAAAATTCAAAGTAGAAAAAGTACCACTTCCGGTTATCGGAAATCGCTCAAAAGCTGATACGGATCTACGATTTTGATATAATACTTATATATGAAATTTCATCAACCTAGCTGTAACGGTACTCAAGTTATCGTGTTTACACACAGACAGACACACAGACACACAGACACACACACACACACAGACATACGGACAAGATTGCAAAATTATGTTTTTCCGTATCAGTGAGGTTTACACCGTCGAGATTTGTAAAAATCTCGATTTTTTTTTGTTTGCACGATTACAATACTTTCTCTATACTACGTATATACGAGAAAGTAAAAAAAGTCCTAGGATAGATTGAGCATGAGTAAGGACGTCTGAATTCGTCTCAAGTAACTGGAAGTTGGTCAAATTGGAATATGTTTGTAGATCTGGATGTCTTTGGTAAAACGATACATCAAACTTGGCTGGAAAAGTTTCCAGCAAATGTTGCTGACTTTCACGGTTCAAAGTAATTTTTGTAAACATATTTTGATTAGGCTAGTGGCACACAACTTTAATTTACGTCATTAAATTTTGTTTGTTTTATTTTTTTTCTATAGACACACGAAAACTGTGTGTAATACGTCACCATTCTGTGCAGATAAAAAACAAAATGGCTTTTAAGTGTTTAGGCAAATCGACCCGAGATTTCTTCACGTCAAAAAGTTGATGTTTCTCTTGTTTATAGAGGCTTTCATATGAAAGCTAACACCTAGCGACAGTTAGAGGTAGCATCTTAAGGTTAGCTGAGGTAGCATATTATATGGGTGTAGCCACTACACACGATGTACGTATATAAACAGATGTCGTGAGATTGATTCTCTGAAAATGGACATAGAGGACACTATTGGAGCAATCAGGTAGGTCTATAAACATGGTTTGTTTAAAAAATTGTATGGGGGGGGGGGGGGGGGGGGGGACTACAGATGGATTCTTTAAAACCTTGTAAGGGGAACTAAAGATGGATTCTTTAAAACATTGGATAGGGGACTAAAGATGGATAACGACGTTATTCACAATACTAATGTGCAGGGGCGTAGCGAGGGGGGGGGGGCGGGGGGTGCGGACCGCACCGGGTGACACCATTTAGGGGGGGGGGGGGGGGGGTGACACCAAGGCAAAAAATAGCAAATTATATAGAGAAAAACTCGAGGGGAGGGGGGGGTGCAAATCGAAAGTTTGAGGGGGGTGCAAATCGAAAATTTGAAAAGTTTGCCCCTGCGAAGGGTTTCTATGCCTCTGGGGGGGGGGGGGGGTGACACCATTAAGTGCCGCACCGGGTGACACCCGACCTCGCTACGCCACTGCTAATGTGGACGATGTTATTTACAATACTCATATGTGCGTCATGTGTACAATGTTATTAAGTGTACGAAGTTATTCACAATACTCATATCTAAGCATTTTTAATTCACAATATTCATGTGTGCGCCGTTATTCACAATACTTATATGTTTACGAAGTTATTCTCAATACTCATATCTAAGACGTTATTCACAATACTCATGTCTAAGCGTCGTTATTAACAATACTCATGTGTGCGTCGTTATTCACAATACTCATGTGTGCGTCGTTATTCACAATACTCATGTCTAAGCGTTGTTATTCACAATACTCATATGTGCGTCGTTATTAACAATACTCATGTGTGCGTTGTTATTCACAATACTCATGTGTGCGTCGTTATTCACAATACTCTTGTGTGCGTCGTTATTCAAAATACTCATGTTTGTACGACGTTCTGAAAATATCGATGTGTATATGATATACAAATATTTCTTCATGTACATAAACGTTCTGAAAATATCGATGTGTATATGATATAAAAACATGTCTTCCTGTCTCTGCCAGACACATCAGCAACAACACATGGATCGTGGTGACCTTCGGCGCCCTGCTGCTGTTCTCGGTAGTCGGGAACTTCGTGGCGCTGTTCCACACCCCCCGCTACAGGTCCTGCCCCAACCACAACATGGAGATCTTCGAGCTGCACAACCGTCGGGCCGAGGTCAAGGTCTTGGACGCCGTCATCCAGTTCCTCTCCACCCCCGCCATCAACGAGCACCACTACGCCTACCTCTACAACAACTACAAAGCCTGCGCCGGGGGTTTCTACAAGATCCTCTTCGTGGTACCATCCGAACCAGCAAGCTTTGACAAGCGGAATTTGATCAGGCGTGGGAGTATTGCGGAGTTTATCAAACGAAAACAAAACGCGAAGCTGTTGTTTTTCCTCGGCCGGCCTGCTGCGGAGGAGAACGATATCGATATCCAGCTATCGATAAACCAGGAGATTCGTGAGTTCAACGATATCGTGCAGGAGGATTACGAAGATGTGTACAAGAACGGCTACATCAAGTACATGTCCATGCTCAAATGGGCCAGCATATACTGCCGCAAAGCTGAGTACGTCATACGCGTCAACGATGACGTAGAAATCGACCTCCAGGTTATGACGGACGCGCTGAACAGCACCAGGTCGGTGTTTATCAACTACGTCGTGGGGTTAAAGGTCACGAACGTGTCCGTGGTACGAGACGCTAGCCAGGCCAAACTAACCCGGTACTACCTGACCCACCAGGAGTACCCTGAAGACACGCTCCCCCCGTTCATCTACCACATCGCCGCCGGGTTCCCCATCCGCACGGCTATGCGGCTGTACCAGGCGGCGCTAAGGGTGCCGGTCCTAAAGCTGGAGGATGTCTTCATCACTGGGCTGTGTCCACAGCTGGTCGACGTGGCGCTGGTCCATGTGGACGTCCAGCCGAAGCTGGTCGACGTCAGGGACAGTCTAGAGCTGCAGTAGATTCGGGCTAACGTATGCAAGCAGGGTTAAAGGACGGTGTGTAGCAGTACAAAGTAAACTTACACACATAAGGTTTACAGGACGGTGTGTAGCAGTATAAAGTTGACACTACTGTAGGAAATGGTGGTAGGACATGGTGGTAGGACATGGTGGTAGGACATGGTGGTGGGGTTGGGTGGTAGGACGGTGGTAGGACATGGTGGTAGGACGTGGTGGTAGGACGTGGTGGTAGGGTGGGGTGGTAGGACATGGTGGTAGGACATGGTGGTAGGTCATGGTGGTAGGACATGGTGGTAGGACATGGTGGTAGGACGTGGTGGTGGGGCGGGGTGGTAGGACGGTGGTAGGACATGGTGGTAGGACATGGTGGTAGGACATGGTGGTAGGACGTGGTGGTAGGACGTGGTGGTAGGACATGGTGGTAGGACATGGTGGTAGGACATGGTGGTAGGACATGGTGGTAGGACGTGGTGGTAGGACATGGTGGTAGGACATGGTGGTAGGACATGGTGGTAGGACATGGTGGTAGGGCGTGGTGGTAGGACATGGTGGTAGGACATGGTGGTAGGACATGGTGGTAGGACATGGTGGTAGGACATGGTGGCAAGACATGGTGGGGTGGTGGGGCGGGGTGGTAGGACATGGTGGGGTGGTGGGCGGGGTGGTAGGACATGGTGGTAGGACATGGTGGGGTGGTGGGGCGGGGTGGTAGGACATGGTGGTAGGACATGGTGGTAGGACATGGTGGTGGGGCGGGGTGGTAGGACGGTGGTAGGACATGGTGGTAGGACATGGTGGTAGGACATGGTGGTAGGACATGGTGGTAGGACGTGGTGGTAGGACGTGGTGGTAGGACATGGTGGTAGGACATGGTGGTAGGACATGGTGGTAGGACATGGTGGTAGGACGTGGTGGTAGGACATGGTGGTAGGACATGGTGGTAGGACATGGTGGTAGGACATGGTGGTAGGGCGTGGTGGTAGGACATGGCGGTAGGACATGGTGGTAGGACATGGTGGTAGGACATGGTGGCAAGACATGGTGGGGTGGTGGGGCGGGGTGGTAGGACATGGTGGGGTGGTGGGCGGGGTGGTAGGACATGGTGGTAGGACATGGTGGGGTGGTGGGGCGGGGGTGGTAGGACATGGTGGTAGGACATGGTGGTAGGACATGGTGGTGGGGCGGGGTGGTAGGACGGTGGTAGGACATGGTGGTAGGACATGGTGGTAGGACATGGTGGTAGGACATGGTGGTAGGACGTGGTGGTAGGACGTGGTGGTAGGGTGGGGTGGTAGGACATGGTGGTAAGACATGGTGGTAGGGTGGGGTGGTAGGACATGGTGGTAGGACATGGTGGTAGGACGTGGTGGTAGGGTGGGGTGGTAGGACATGGTGGTAGGACATGGTGGTAGGACATGGTGGTAGGACATGGTGGTGGGGCGGGGTGGTAGGACGGTGGTAGGACATGGTGGTAGGACATGGTGGTAGGACATGGTGGTAGGACGTGGTGGTAGGGCATTGTGGTAGGACATGGTGGTAGGACATGGTGGTAGGACATGGTGGTAGAACATGGTGGTAGGACATGGTGGTGAGGCGGGGTGGTAGGACATGGTGGTAGGTCATGGTGGTAGGACATGGTGGTAGAACATGGTGGTAGGACATGGTGGTGGGGCGGGGTGGTAGGGCATTGTGGTAGAACATGGTGGTAGGACATGGTGGTAGAACATGGTGGTAGGACACGGTGTTGGGGCGGTGGGTGGGGCGGGGGTGGTAGGACGTGGCGGTAGGACATGGTGGTAGGACATGGTGGTAGAACATGGTGGTAGGACATGGTGGTAGGACATGGTGGTAGAACATGGTGGTAGGACATGGTGGTAGGACATGGTGGTAGGACATGGTGGTAGGACATGGTGGTAGGACATGGTGGTAGGACGTGGTGGTGGGGTGGGGGTGGTAGAACGGTGGTAGGACATGGTGGTAGGACATGGTGGTAGGACATGGTGGTAGGACGTGGTGGTAGGACGTGGTGGTAGGACATGGTGGTAGGACATGGTGGTAGGACATGGTGGTAGGACGTTGTGGTAGGACATGGTGGTAGGACATGGTGGTAGGATGTGGTGGTGGGGTGGGGTGGTAGGACGTGGTGGTAGAACATGGTGGTAGGACATGGTGGTAGGACATGGTGGTGGGACATGGTGGTGGGACATGGTGGTAGGACGTGGTGGTGGGGCGGGGGTGATAGTGCGGGGTGGTGGGGCGGGGTGGTGGGGCGGGGTAGTGGGGCGGGGTGGTTGTTAGGTCGGGGTGGTTGTAGAGAGTAGGACCAAGCTATCAACAAAAGGAAAGGAGCGGGGATTAGACAAACACGTAAAGCACATAAACACTCAGGTACGCTATTGAAAGAAGACTTGACATTTATTATGTATATTTTTTTTCTTATTCTCGAACATTGTTATTTTTAATTAACAGCATGCGTAACACAGAATTCTACTGGCATAGTTTCTATATGAAACCATATGTTAAGATTAACATCGGTCTTACGAATTGGTTTTCAGACAACGTTAAAACTTTTCAATTTTAAGCTATAGCATTCATTTTTTTTAAATAGTTTACTTAAAGGAATTAACATTAGCTGAAATGTTTTGTGTAAAATGAAAAAGAAACAACCCCTACAACGAATACAACTGAATGAAATACTTGAATAAAAGAAAAACTACAGGTAACAAACACAGCGCGTCCGTCACGAGAACAGCATTGTTTCTTTCAGATTTTTTTTCGGGGGGGGGGGGGAGACTTGAAATTTTTGGGGGGACGGACTAAAATATTTGGAGGGGGGTGGGCGGTTACTGTTAAAAGTACATATTTTCTATATAAATTCCATTTCGTTCGAGGGGGGGGGGGGGGTGGGGGGCGGTAGACTTTCTTCGGGTGGGCTCCCTCCCCCCTAGAAGAGATGCCTGGAAGAAACGCTGGAGAGCATAAGATCAAATTGACACGCTCTCTTGTGTACTAGAATTGTTTACCATCACTTTAAAATGTTTACACTGCAAACTCGATTTTTGTGAAGGCTATAGATTTTTAAAGTAAATTATTTAAAACTTGTGACGATAATGAACGCTTGTTTTAAATGGGTGATTGACTGCAGTGTAAAATATTGTAAAAATTAATAAATGTATCTTAAGAAAACTTGGTATTGTGTTTATTTAAAGTTGGCTTGGTGTTGTGTTTACTTAAAGATGACTGGGTGTTGTGTTTATCTATAGTTGGCTTGGTGTTGTGTGTATTTAAAGTTGAATGGGTGTTGTGTTTATTTAAAGTTGGCATGGTGTTGTGTTGTGTTCATCTAGAAATGAGTTGACATAGTGTTTATCTAAAAATGACATGTTGACATACTGTTGAGTTTATTTAAAGCTGGCATGGTGTTGTGTTTATCATGAACACATCAGACTGTAAAACATTAGTTGTGACAAGTCTTAGTTAAACAGACCCAAAGAGCATTGAGATGAAGCTAAAATTGGGCTTTAAGTCTGAAAACACACGTTTATATCTGGCTGTAGATTTTAACTATCAATGGCTGGCTTCTTTTAGATCAATCTCAGAAATTTCAGTAATTAATCCCACAACACAGCTTAGGAAAATCCCATGTTTAGTTTAGTAGTCATAGTTGCACACTGTGGAGTCATAATGAGCTTAATGAGCTTAACTCTGGGTTCACATCACCACGACCAATGTTTGAAGTCATAATGAGCTAAATGAGCTTAACTCTGAGCTCACATCACCACGACCAATGTTTGAAGTCAAACTCCCTGTTGTTTACCAACGTCACCGCCACCTGAGGTGCACAGATACCAGTGACGTAGACATCATCCAGCCATATTGGTTTGATCCTGAGAGCCGCTTGGTACAGTAGTTTCACGGAGCTCATGGGGAATCCCAGCAAACCACCCAACGCAAAGGGCGGGAATATCTCGTCAGGAAATTCTTCCGTGGATAAGTAATACTTATTTTTAGGATTCCGGAGCGGCTTATTACGAACCTTAACTCTCCCAAGAATAAAGTTGTCTATTTGAGATTTCGTTGTTTCCAAAATCGAAACCAGTTTCGTCACGTTAATCGCAACGTCGTCGTCTGTCCTTATAACAAATTTCGCATTCTCGCAAAACTGGCTCGCCCATTTCAGCATCGACACTGCTTTGGTTCGAATATTCTTATAAACGTCCGCGTAATTCTCCTGAACGATATCGCCGTAGAGTTTAGCCTCCGCGTCTATTTTGACCTGCTCTATTTTACTTTTGGCTCCCCCTATGAAGAACAACATCCTGGCGTTGTGTGAGTCTACCCTGACGTACTCACTCCTAGAGCTGTTCCTGACTTTCGCGCGCTTGATGAAATTTCCGGTCGCCGAGGGTACGACGATAAGGAGATGTACAACCCGCTTGCTGCACGTCAGTCGCGGGTTGTACAGGTACGTGTGGTTGTGGGGGTTGACCACGGGTTGAGATAAAACTGAAACAATTTTCTTCACCGAGGCCAACTTGTCTTTGATGCCACGGAGCAAATCTTCCAGGAACGGTTCTAACACCGCTTCATCACATCCGGCACAAATATTAGAACTGTTCGTAGAGTTGAGAAATTTCGAGACAATTTTCTCAAACACGTTGACCTTGGAGATGTTTGATTCGGCCTTGAACTCTATAACTCTCTTAGAGGTGGGAGTAAGAAAACTCGGCCTGACTTGAAGCACCGTACATGGACGTGCGGTGAGCAGAAGGTAAATCCACACCGTAATGGCGAGCAAGGTCACTCCTGCAAATAGCTGCTTCACACTCACCATTCTACGCGTCACAATTTCCAGCATCAGTAGATTCATAGACTACAAATGTAAAGCGAAACGTGAATAAAACTGCAAATATTGGCTTCAGTCTAAAGATTCAGAATGTTACAATTCCAAACACCAGTAGATTCATAGATTACAAATCTCAAGAAAAAAACAGCATAACCAACCCTACAAATATCTGTTTCAGTCTAAATTCTCATTTCTCAAAATGAGTTGATTCAAATCGCTATAGAAAATAATACTACAATCCTACAAATTTCTGTTTAAATTTTCAATCCTCAGCATGAGTTGATTCATATTTTCAGCTCGCAACAGAACACAACACTACCATCCTACGAATATCTGCTTTTGTCTCAAGAATCAGGGCGTCACAATTCTTAATTTCAGTCGAGTCACAGACTCCAGATAACAACAGAAAACTCTACATGCCCGCCTGACGAAAAGACAAACCTGGTACTTGTACCCCTCTGTACAACACCACGCATGACCTGATATCTCTGAACGACATTCACTGCTTTAACACACATCAGCAGTTGGGCTTTTGTGTGTTTCAAGTCAGGCAATAAAATGGGCTTTTGTGTGTTTCACTTCTTACAATAAAATGGGGAAGGTATAAACAAGGAAAGGGGTGGGTCCTTTATCGGCTGTTCTAACTCATGCCTCGGGGTAGATTAACGTTGGGCAGGTGTGTGTGTGTGTGTCTGTCTGTCAGAGTGCATGTGTGTCTGTGTGCGTGTATGTCTGTGTGTGTGTGTGTGTGTGTCTGTGCGTGTGTGTGTTTGGGGGATGTGTACCTGGATTGGCAGTTTGACCCAGTCGGGGGGGGGGGGGGGGGGGGTGGAGAGGTGGTTCACACTTGAGAAACTCTCAAAAGCTTTGACGTAACGATTTGAATAAAGAACTTGGGTCATGAAAACATATCACATTCACCAGACACAATACAAACTGATCTAATCTGTTGATATAGCACCATAGGGGGTGCACATTCAGTGCAGTCTTAGTTCAGATATCAAGGGTTAGGTCTGGTCTGCCGAGGTAATATTCAGTGTCTCTTCCAGACTTTTTTCTCCGGGGGGGGGGGGGCACTTGAAATTTCCGGGGGGAGGGGGGACACACTGTTAAAAGTATAAATTTTCCATATAAATTCCATTTCGGTCAGGGGGTGGGGCGGCAAACTTTCTTCGGGAGGGCGAAGACATACCTGGATGAAACTCTGGTGATATTGTAAATGTAAGGGTTAGGGTCAACGTAGAGAGTAGGTTAAATGGCAATAATAACGTCTAAAGTAAAACATATCAAATATGTCGAACTGATTACTAATGAAGTAGATGTTCATCTTACAAAGCCCTATGCATCGTACATAATGCGCAGCCTGTGATGACGCTAGTTTAGGTTAGAAGTCAAGTAGATATTAGAAATAGACTATAGCTTAGTTAAACAGACCAATGGAAATACAGGAGCTGACTAGTCACGTGGGACGGTCAGCTGACCAGTGAAGTGTGGGGAGAGAGCGGTTATTGACAGGTAGCGGCAGGAGACGGTGATAGGTAGCGGGAGAGAACGACCAGAGAAATGTAGAGTTAGGTAGAGAGTTAGAGGCAGACAGTGGCGTAGCGAGGTCGGGTGTCACCCGGTGCGGCACTTAATGGTGTCACACCCCCCCCCCAGAGGCGTAGCTACCCTTCCCGGGGACAAACTTTCAAATTTTGATTTGCACCCCCCCCCCACCTCAAACTTTCGATTTGCACCCCCCCCCCCCTCAAACTTTCGATTTCCACCCCCTCCCCCTCCCTCAAACTTTCGATTTCCACCCCCCCCCTCCCTCAAACTTTCGATTTTCACCCCCCCCCTTCAAGTTTTTCTCTATATATTTTACTATTTTTTGCCTTGGTGTCACCCCCCTAAATGGTGTCACCCGGTGCGCTCCGCACCTCCGCCCACCCCCCCCCCTCACTACGCCCCTGGAGGTAGATAGTGTTAAGATTGGTCATGGGAGTACGTAGTTAGTAGTATTAGTAAACAGTGTATTATTATAGTATAGGCTAGTTAGGTATAAGTAGAACAATTGATTTGTGTAAACAAAGAACATCAAATCTTGAATTGGGCTGTGTGTTGGACCTTCTCTTCATCTTTCACCCCCCCCCCCACCCTCACACATCACTTCATTTAGCCTTTATCCCCATTCAACTTGACAAACTATAATTGATTGTGTGGAAAGCCTAACCACCCACTACACCAGATAACATCGTCTAACCAGCTGGGGATGAGCTAGTGTGTTTGTTCAGAGATAAACATCGACAATATTATTGGACGGGGCGCTATCTCAGGGCTAACAATCGGTCTAGCTCGAGTGCTAACGTCTAGGACTGTGTGACAACATTCACGGGTACACAATGAGATGTATTCAGAGCGGGACCATAGAGAGAATTACATTATGGATTTTTTTTATATCTGAATTGTCAGCCAAGCATAATAAAGCTAAACTTGGCACTGCATTAAGACTAGATTACATAATCAGAAAGATGGTAGAAAAAGCGACACACTTATTTATATATATATATATATATATATATATATATATATATATATATATATATATATATATATATATATATATATATATATATATATATATATATATATATATACTCAACAACCCCTTGGTTACGACTTAGTTGGTGGGTTAAAATTATCAAACGATTGTTAGATCACATGTGTATGATTCCTAACAAACACAATGTCATGGTTTTAACCAATTTTATGTTTATGGAAACGTAGGGGTGCAGTGGTGGGAGTTTATGTGAGGTGTGGGGGGAGTGTGAGGGAGCTAATTATGTGTTGGGGGAGTGTGCGGGAGCTGATATGACGTGTGGGGGAAGTGTGAGGGAGTTAATATGATGTGTGGGGGAAGTGTGCAGGAGTTGATATGATGTGTGAGGAGTGTGCAGGAGCTAAGTAAGTGTGGGGGAGAGTGTGGGAGTTCATATGAGACGCACCAAAACTTCACTAACACGAGAGCACGTGATTAAAACTGTAGAAGTTCCGAATGTCGGTTGTTAAAACACACCATAGGCCTGTGTCATGCCAAATACGTCAGTTGTCAACACAATATGTCATGTCAACTACGTCCCTGCCTAACATTAGAACACATCTTGTTCATTTATTAACAATCTAAATAAAGACGTGTGTATAGTGAAACACCCCGCCTCCACTCACAGACACCACTGACAGACACCACTGACAGACACCACTGACAGACACCAGACACCACTGACAGACACCACTGACAGACACCACTGACAGACACCACTGACAGACACCTGACAACACTGACAGACACCATTGACAGATACCACTGACAGACACCACTGACAGACACCACTGACAGACACCACTGACAGACACCACTGACAGACACCACTGACAGACACCACTGACAGACACCACTGACAGACACCACTGACAGACACCACTGACAGACACCACTGACAGACACCAGACACCACTGACAGACACCAGTGACAGACAACTGACACCACTGACAGACACCACTGACAGACAACTGACACCACTGACAGATACCACTGACAGACACCACTGACAGACACCAGAAACCACTGACAGACACCACTGACAGACAACTGACACCACTGACAGATACCACTGACAGACAACTGACACCACTGACAGATACCACTGACAGACACCACTGACAGACAACTGACACCACTGACAGATACCACTGACAGACAACTGACACCACTGACAGATACCACTGACAGACAACTGACACCACTGACAGATACCACTGACAGACACCACTGACAGACACCAGACACCACTGACAGACACCACTGACAGACAACTGACACCACTGACAGATACCACTGACAGACAACTGACACCACTGACAGATACCACTGACAGACACTACTGACAGATACCACTGACAGACACCACTGACAGACACCAGACACCACTGACAGACACCACTGACAGACACCACTGACAGACACCACTGACAGACACCACTGACAGACACCAGACACCACTGACAGATACCACTGACAGATTCCACTGACAGACACCACTGACAGACACCACTGACAGACACCACTGACAGACACCACTGACAGACACCACTGACAGACACCACTGACAGACACCACTGACAGACACCAGACACCACTGACAGACAACTGACACCACTGACAGATACCACTGACAAACAACTGACACCACTGACAGATACCACTGACAGATACCACTGACAGACACCACTGACAGACACCAGACACCACTGACAGACACCACTGACAGACAACTGACACCACTGACAGACACCACTGACAGACAACTGACACCACTGACACCACTGACAGACACCACTGACAGACAACTGACACCACTGACAGATACCACTGACAGACAACTGACACCACTGACAGATACCACTGACAGACACCACTGACAGACACCAGACACCACTGACAGACACCACTGACAGACACCAGACACCACTGACAGACACCACTGACAGACAACTGACACCACTGACAGATACCACTGACAGACAACTGACACCACTGACAGATACCACTGACAGACACCACTGACAGACACCAGACACCACTGACAGACACCACTGACAGACAACTGACACCACTGACAGATACCACTGACAGACAACTGACACCACTGACAGATACCACTGACAGACACCACTGACAGACACCAGACACCACTGACAGACACCACTGACAGACACCAGACACCACTGACAGACACCACTGACAGACAACTGACACCACTGACAGATACCACTGACAGACAACTGACACCACTGACAGATACCACTGACAGACACCACTGACAGACACCAGACACCACTGACAGACACCACTGACAGACAACTGACACCACTGACAGATACCACTGACAGACAACTGACACCACTGACAGATACCACTGACAGACACCACTGACAGATACCACTGACAGACACCACTGACAGACACCAGACACCACTG